CAATAAATGATATTATTGATTTTTTTTGAAAGTAAATTTAATTTCATGAGGCAAAATTTTATTTTCGTCCAGCTATTTATTCTCTGATTAATTTTTCGGTGGGTCTGGAAAGATAGCCTCTCGTCGCATTGTTCATTTGCCCTGAGGTTGTTTATCGATCCATGGATACAATAAGAAATTGATTTCAGTTCAAAGTACCATGTAACGTAATAATAAACTTGACGGCGGGATACAGGTTTCGCATAATGACAGCGGCTTGATTCTTGTGAAGTAGGAAAAGCCTTTTTTTAAACTGATATCCGGATTAATGAGTCTCAAGAAAGAAAAGAATGTTTTAGTAAAATTCAAACTGGCGGTTTATATATGAAACAAACAAACAAACCACTCGTAATGAGACAAAAACCAATACGTTTTGCCGCGAGAATTCTATACAAAAACTTTTTGATGGTCAAGACATTTTAAAAAAAATTACTTAATATGTATAGACCCTGCGAGTTTTTTCAAATTTCACCATGATCGACCAGTCCGCGGTAATCCATCTTTTGCCTACCTAGTAAAGCCAGGCGCTAGGCGCTACTATAGCGCGAAAACAGAGAGTGGGAAGGCTAGCCCATGATACAAAGCGGTCGGAGTGAGCGCTGGGATAAGGTCGATCTGCTGCAGTTTTGATTGGTCAACTCAGTTAACATTACTACTTACTTTAATTCACGTCATTCAATGAGGTTTCACTGCTCATTCAAAATATATTCCCATCTCTGGTCAATTGGCTTTAATCCTGTAAGCCTTAAGAGCGATCAGCATCAAATTTCTCCTTGTAATATCAATGCTTTGTAAAATAGAGTGGTCATGAGAATTACGGACATGATCACACAAGATGAATTTGCTTGATATTTTATCAACTTCTCCCCACTACTTCTGTAGGAAATGAATAACGGCAAAAAGTGAGAATTCCAATTTTGATTTTAGGGTATTTAGGGTTAATCTGCGAATTATTCCAGCAAGTTCTGCCTCGGACTAACACCGTTCACTGATCAACATCTCGGTTGAAAACGCTTAATCTCATACTCAGAGCCTCATTCAATAATTGTCAGATACTGGCTCAAAACAAAATTGTACATTCGTAAAGATACAAGATTTGCCACAGATAAAATCATTATCCTTTCGGATTCTTAAGAATTTGAGTGATTCAGATTGACGAAGTCATTAGAGCAATATCAATAGAAACTATTCAAGATAGTAATACAAAGTTTGTTGTCAAAAATCATTAATGTGCGAGAGGTTTTATGGTTGGCTGTTTTTCTAGNGAATTATTCCAGCAAGTTCTGCCTCGGACTAACACCGTTCACTGATCAACATCTCGGTTGAAAACGCTTAATCTCATACTCAGAGCCTCATTCAATAATTGTCAGATACTGGCTCAAAACAAAATTGTACATTCGTAAAGATACAAGATTTGCCACAGATAAAATCATTATCCTTTCGGATTCTTAAGAATTTGAGTGATTCAGATTGACGAAGTCATTAGAGCAATATCAATAGAAACTATTCAAGATAGTAATACAAAGTTTGTTGTCAAAAATCATTAATGTGCGAGAGGTTTTATGGTTGGCTGTTTTTCTAGTAAACTCACATATAATATTTAGTCTTTCTTGCAATCAACACATTTCATGCTTACTTTTAAACTGAAAGGAGCTGAAAAAAGCTTTCTCCGGTAGTCAAAACAATAGTTAGTTATAATCTTTATATCTTTGCATCACAATCCTTGCGTTCCCGAGATATACATTGATATGCAATATGTAATTTTCATCATTCTAGGATCACATTTATTTTTCAATTTTCTGAAAAAAAATTAGATTGTAACAAACTTATTCTGCAATCGTTGTTGGTGATGTTATAACGTTAATTCTTGCTGTACCAACTCAATAACAACCGACTGAGGTTTTGTTTTTTTTATATTCCTGTTATCAATAATTTATCTGGCCAAAACTTAACAATTATCGTAGATTAGGGATTTCCAAATGGGGAAATGTTTAGATTGATTTTAAAGCCAGATTTTTGAGAAAAACGCCCCCTTTTTTCAAAGTTAATGTCCCCTATGTTTTGATGGTAAACTCAAACAATTCTGGTTTAAAATTTGTGGTAATTAACTCGCTTCTCCTCTCAATTTCGCTTGTTATTTGCTACGTTTAACCTTTGTGTTATAAATTGAGAAATTAATTATTGATCATCTTACTCTCCATCGAAAACGACGGCTTGTCTTGGATTTGTTAGTCATAGTCTTCGTTTAAATTTGGAGTTCAAATCGGGCTCTTTTGCTTGCCCTGCTCAGGTATGAGTTGTATATGCTGATCAGTCAAATGTCATGAAATGTTTTACAAAGGCTTTTAATTTCCTCCGTGCGAAAAAAAAAAATGAGCGATTTCGTTTTCTTATTCGATTCTGAAGTACTTAATATCTGCAACAGCAGGGTAGCAATACACATATCTAACAAAATTGAAAAAAAAAACCGAAGAGGTTGTAATCTCAACCGTATTCTAAGGGTTTGAATTCTAATAATTACTGGAAAGCGTTAAAATTGCAAACGAAAAACCAGTAGTTCGCGAGTTTGGTTATGGAAAAAGTCGTTAACTTTGTTTCTTCAACTTTATTCGTATGAATCGCAATCTTAATGCCGACATGAGGTTAGAGCTTCTTAGTTTAGGGGACTGTAACAGATCCATGCATAGTCCTGAAGAAGTTAAAGACCATCATTTTCTTGCTTCAGGGCTTGACCAGCGCTTCGTCTATAGAGGGTTGGGTGGTTTCACAAGGAAACACTATTGCACCAACGAGCTGTGAAGAGAGTCAGCCGAAGACGACATGCAGGATGAAAGCTGTTGCTATCAACACTTTACAAGCTAACTAAAAGATCAAGACGCTCGTTCAGGATTTCACTTTTCTGAGGTAATTCAAATTAAAACAAACCCTGTAGTCTTGATTTATTCATGCATCTTTTTCTATTCTACTTTTTTCAGCTGTTTGTTGTGCGATGAATGAAGTTTTATTCCACCTTATTGAAAGCTGTTTAATAATTTGTGACTAGTACTTACTAAAGAAAATTGCAAAGAGATCTCAAAACAAAGCATCGGTATTTTTTTCTTTTATAATTAAAAGCTTCAACCGTTTCTGACGGTTAATGCATAGGTGCAACTTTTTTGTTTAGGATACGGTTTGCGTTAACAAAGTTCAATAAGTAGCCCACATTCGATTTATTAATTTTCCAACATGACTCCGAGGCTTTCTGGTCATTTTTCTATATTTTGTTTGGTTTTCTTTGTGCTCAAGTCTCTTCTGAGAATTGCGAGACAATAATGGAGTCTTGAAAAGTTTGCAATTTTGCCCCTAATTAAGGCCTCGGAGTCATGTTAGAAGTTAATGAGCGCTTACCATTTGTCTGGAAAACCCGGAAATTCCAGGGAGAATTCAACTGGAACGGTTCATCCTGGCGGAAATTTTCCGAAAAAAGGTAATACCTTTTGAAGGTATTACCTTTTTTCCGTTTTTACCGAAACGAACGAAATTTTCTGTACCATTTGTTTCAGGATTACTAGTGCCGGGCTTCATGTCGAAAAAAAGCGAAAAATTTACCGGTATTTTGTAAATGGTACAACTCAATCCTGTTCCTGTTTTCGGTACCCAAAAAATACCAGTATTATTTGCTGGAAATTTTTCGCCGAAATTTCCATACAAATGGTAGGCGCTCAATATATCAAGCATGGGCTATTGTCGACTTGTGTGAAGCAATTCTCAATAATTATGGTGTAAAAGTAAATTTGGTAGAGTATAATTCTTGAACTCATCAAAGAAAACCGACAAAACGGAATTTTTCGATTGTCGTGACCATAGCACATTTAGATTTAAAGTGTGCGGACGTCTCAGGAATTTACCTCTGAAACTAAATTAAGTGTTCACGTTCCCGGTCAACGCCGTAAGATTCCCTTTCTGACCCATTATTCTCTCGATCAGTCATTATCATACTTTTAACCCCACTGGAAATAGCGTTTTTCTCTTTTATGGTCTAAACGAACAAGATTGCCTCATATTGAATTTGTAGCAGCCCTTTATCCTCATGGTCTTTTATTTGACTCTCATGTCTTGCTATAATGTACTTAAAACTGAAAAGAGTCAAAAATATATTGCGTGCAATTAGTTTCACTAGAAGTAAGTTTCTCATGTACAAAAATTTCGCGCCATCATTTGTTAAAGATATTGGTGCCTGAAGGTATGTTGAATCAACCCAAGAGAAGTTTAGTTTTCCAACTTGCTCGCATGCCGCGCGCGCAAGGGATAAAATTAAATGATTAAGTGAACTTCTAAGACATTTTATTAAAATGATAGCAATTAGCCTTGTTTTTCTCTTCTACCACGTTTTGGTGGAAAAATTCACTCCATTTATCAAGTAATCTTAAAGCAGGACTAAAACCAATATTCTCTTGCTGAAAGTTTCTTTTTCGCCGAGTGCTTAATTAGGGCGGCTTCCCCTTTTTTTTCAATTTCTCTTTTTTTCATAAGTTTATTCCACACTTTGTGTCCACTGTCAGTTGCCCGGCCTAAAATATTAAATTAATTTGTTTTCATGGGGCGTTTTCATATCATTCAAGTCATGAGCTCTAACAAATATGATTATTAAACTAAAAAGGGATTTCAACCGAACGTTCTACAAAAATGCTGTGGCTAGCCACAGTAGACACATGCATCGAATAAAAATAAAACCTCGAAAGAAATACATGAAGGGTTGTCCTAGTTGTTCAATTTTGGGTTGAATTTGTTGTTGTTTATCGCCTTGTTAAGTTTTTTCTCTTGGTTGCCCCTGCCCCCAAAAACCAACTCACACGAACACGTCCAGGCGAGTTCTTCAGATCTCCTAAGTGTTCTGTGGAGAGCAAAAAAGATACAAAATGTTACTTATTTAATATTGTTGTTGCTTTTCAGACTGAAAAGACTGTGGCTAATCAGCAGTTATGCACGCCATATCTGCTGCAGCTGTTTCATCCCGTGCAGGTGATGGATATGATATAGGCGATCGCTACCTAACCAGAGGGGATAACTTAGAATATCGCACGCAGACATTCGCGACAGCGGATTCGGGCATTAGAATACGTATCAATGTCAGGGGAATGGTGTTCGAGACTTACGAACAAACTCTGGCCCAGTACCCCGAAACACTGCTCGGCTCACCAAGCAAGCGCGTGGAATATTACAACCCTTTGAGTAAAGAATACTGCTTCGATCGAGATAAATCGGTATTTGACTCAATATTATTCTTTTATCAATCTTGCGGGATCTTATCGTGTCCGGAACACGTCCCTCGGGAGAGCTTCTTTGAAGAAGTCAAATTTTTCCAGTTACATGAGGTTGACAAGCGTTACAAACAGGAAATTGAGCCGGAAGAGGAGGTTGAGGTACCAAAAGAACTACCTACTCATCCGCTTCAACGCAAAATTTGGAAGCTCTTCGAGTATCCTGATTCGTCGATCTTTGCCGATTTGCTGGCGAAATTTTCCCTTCTTGTTATAATCATGTCGACTGTAACATTTTGCATTGAGACATTTCCGTCGCTACGCCCACGGGAAGTTTGTCGGAACGTCACTACAAGAGCTGTAAATGGTCGTGTCTCAAATAACACGACCCTTTTTTCTTCACACGATTCACAAGTCGTTTCTGTGGAAACGCATTGCACTCTGCACGGCGAATACTGGCAGACAATAGAAGCAGCTTACGTCGCGTGGTTCACGTTTGAGTATCTCATGCGAGTGATATCTGCTCCGAACAAAATGAAATTTATCAGGTCGCCCTTAGGTCTTGTTGATTTTTTAGCTATTTTACCTTACTACATCACGCTTATTTTTAGGGACGATGGAACCTTATTGACGTCATTTCCGGTTCTGAGAATAGTCCGGTTGGTACGAGTTTTACGGGTTTTGAAACTTTCTCGCTACAGCAAGGGCTTAAAGGTGCTGGCTCAAACGCTACTTATAAGTGGAAAAGACCTTCCTTCTCTATTTGCTGTTCTAATAATCAACATAGTGCTTTTTTCCAGTGTGATATTTTACGTAGAAAATGACGTCAAGGATAATGATTTTGAAAGTATCCCAGACGCCTTTTGGTGGGCGATCGTGACCATGACCGCGGTGGGTTATGGAGACAAAGTGCCGAAAGGCGCGTTGGGTAAACTTATCGGCGCTGTGTGCGCCATTTCAGGAATCGTGGTCCTTTTCTGCTTTCCAACGCCTGTTTTGCTCTCCCATTTCGAGGACATGTACAAAACCAAAGGAGATACAGGGAATAAAAAGGAAGGAAAACAAAAACAAAAAGAAGTCAGGGAACAGACCGAAGGCGTCGAAAAGAAGCAAACAGAGGTTCAGATGGTCGGAAAAAGAGAGCGTGTTGAGATATATGTTTAGCTTAAAAATAGGTTTCTACGTAACAAGAGAGTATGAAGGGGCAAGAGAGGGCATACCGCATCACACTGCTTTTCCACAGGTAATTCGTCCCAAGATATTTTCAGATCTGTTCCCAGAATGAAGATCCCAAGGGGATTAGGCAATAGCCGATCACATGGTGCGAATGCCTTTTTTGTTCCATGCATGTGGTTGACCCAGAGCTACTCGTACTTCTCGAATTGAAGCCCTTTATATTCTCTTGGCTTCTATAAGTAATTTATTTTTAGATAATTAATTTTGCATATTTTATATTCCTTGAAATGTCTTAAAAAAGATTAAAAGTGGCATTAAACAGTAGTGGAACATACTTCCAGTGAATGTGTCAATAATTGTCTTACGAAGATATTTGTCATCGTATCACTTGCCTATTTTTCTTTCTAAATTTTTTAAAGTTATTCTACCTATTTCATTACTGTTTGTATTTGATTGATACGGTGAGCTGTAGATAAAAAAATATTCATTACTTTAATTTTTTGTGGTAAATTATGATATTACATTTAATTATAATATTATGATGATCAAGGCTACAAGACAGACGAAATTGATTTAACTCGAAAATAAAAGCATGCATTGGTAGACGGGTAGGCATAAAGATTGTGCGCGGCAACTTTTGAGCAACTTTTAGCGTTTAATTTTCAGCAACTTTTTGTACTGCGAGCAACCTAGAGCAACTTTTGCCTTCCTTGGCAACTTTTGAGTCAACAAATAGTTAAAAACTGACCAAACCATCAAAAAGGTCTTTATTAAAAGGTTTTTATTGAAACTGGTCAAAACTAAGGATGTCGCACGTTGACACACTTCCACATTGGGCAGGTGTAGTGAAGGAGTTGTCAGTCATCCAGCCAAGTTCAGCATCTGCTGAGAGAGTCTTCATCCTTCTGAACAATGCGTTTAACGATCAACTAGGCAATGCCCTAGAGGACTACCTTGAGGCTTCTTTTATGATAAGATACAACAATGCAAAGAGGCTGTAAACTTTAAAATTTACAACCTCTTTGCATTGTTGTATCTTATCATTATAAGATAAGATAAAGGCTGTAAACTTGATCACTGTCTAAAGCGTATAGTCAGCGCTATGATGTCTATAGCAAACATTGTGATGTTTACTCATTAGAAACGTCATTAGAAAATACTTTCTATTATTAGTTACGCTGAGCTTAAAGATTATATTGATCGATCACAACAAATGATGTGAAATTACACATAAACGTCATGCTAGAACAAAATGACTCTCACAAGTAAGCAACTTTTCTAAATTTGGGTGGCAACTTTTAAATTTTTTAGCAACTTTACAGCAATTTCTGGGTGTATTTTCAAGCAAGTTTTGCTGGATTTACGAGCACAATCTATTCATGCCTATAGACGGGGTCATTCTACATGTAAAAAAAATAAATCTGAGTTTCTGGGAGGATTGACTGTTGACAGTCCCTTACTTTTCATAAGATCGTCAGGATCGAGCGCTTACTGTTACGGGCCGCCTTCTTGGTCGCATATGTACAACCGCCCCCCGCGCCATAAGTAGTTTTGACACTCGTCCAAGATGGCGGCCAGTAATGTAGGCGGTCGATCTCGACGATCTTACGGAGAAACTGAGGATTGTAAACAATCTAGAAAGATTACCCTTTTAGTAACAATGGGTTCATAATCCTGCCAGGGACTCAGAGGCATTGGTTTTCTTCGTCACGCACTAGTCAGATTAAGGACTGCATCTTTCCCCTTTGGTCCCAAGCTACCATAGAAATGCACTTTCTTTGAGTGTCAATGAATTTAGTTGCCTACGAGTAAGCTCTCCGGGGCGCTTTGGCGGCGGGACGGGAAAAGGAAGGAAAGCTTCCAACTATGTCTCAGGAATTTGAATATCTGCGTCGAAAAACTCGATGCGAAATTCTGCTGTTTGACGAAGTGAGAGCCTAATTAGTTCGAGATATCTCGAGATCACTTCGATTTCTTTGATTTATTCTTTAACTTTTGCGAGGAAGAAAGAATTATATTTTGGCTTTTCCGGGGTTTGAACCGACTAACCTGTGTGACCCGTCAGATCAGAAGAGACTCTAAGTTGAGGGATTAGCCGATTGCGCTACTGCGACCCAAGGTAGCTCGG